CTGCCTAGCCAGTGCGCTCGCTCACCCGCCCCCCGCCTGTTTCCCTTTTCCTCCTCCTCCTCAGCCTCTCACTCTTCCTCGCCCTCTCGCTGCTATGCCTGAGCCGCCGCCGGGCTGCCCGCTGCCCTGCACCACTGAGCCAGCCACGCGCTCGCTCGCCCACCCCCCGTTTCCCCTCTTCCTCCTCCTCCTCCTGCCTCCGCCCGCCCAGGCTCTTCCTGTTAGGGGGGGTCGTCTTATACGGCTGGTCGCCTTGTAGGCCGGCAAATACGGTAAGTACACTTTGGCATTCCATCATAATTGTGTAAAAAAAAAATCTCATTCTTAAAAATTGCACACATTTAACATGGACCTTAGTCCAATTCAGGCTTTACTGAAAGTGTGGAAACTCGCTGCCTGAACTGTCGCTGTGCCAAGCAGTGATGGCACCTGTAGCTCCACACTATAGGGCTGCAAAGAGTGCAAAATTCCACCCATACAGAGTTATTCAGAACCCTGATCACATGGGATTCTGCATCAAATGGAAGCCTTGACAGGAAACAGCAGGATATCTCAGCACAGACATACCCAGAGTGCTGCCATTCACTCTGTAAGCATAGATGCATGCAGGGGTGGAGGAAAGAGTGACACTATGTCAGAAGGAGGGCTACTTGATGCAGCCCTGTTCCTGCTCATACAGTGAATCACTATGCTTTTCAATAATTCAATAATGCTGGGATACAGCTGATTTAAGCACCACACATTTTTTAACAGATTTGCTCGAGTAAATATGCACACAGGCCAGAATCCTGTTGTTGTTGTTTACACGGATATAACTGAAAATGTAGCTTGACAGGCTTCTGGACATTTATGAAGCTCCCACAGCAGCTACCTGAAGCTGATCAATGAGGTGCTGGTTGCATGCCTGGTCACACAATCAGGATGCAACCAGGCACTGACTGACATCATGTTTGTTACTTTTTTCTTTACACATTTTGTCATATGCGCACATTTTAAAAAGCAACAGGATTCTGCCCATACACTGATAACCCCCAATCCTGTTCTAGAGGGGAAACACTATTGAAGACAAAAGGAGGATTTCGATACAGAGAAAGAGCTGAACCACACTAAACCTACTCTTCTTAGGTTGCAAGAGTACTGAGGAGAGGAATCCTGATTAATTAGTATTTCTGCTTTCCAACTGGTCCAAAGCCACTTATTTTGAGCAGAAATGCATTTTATATTAAGTTTTTTTTACACCTGATATCTTAATCCCTCAAGATTTCTGTATTGAGGAAAAGATAGCAAAGCATTTAAATCAAAGAAGATGCTATCTCTGTACACATCATGCTTGAAAACATATTCATATTTTCTGAGATATGGTTACTGTAACTAATTCACAAAATAGCACCAAAATGACTTACATTTCTCAGAAGTATCTTGTCAGATGAATTTTTAACCACTTCTGATATATGTTCTACACCTGCTGAGATGGCTGAAGAACTACTCACAATGGGATCTCCTGTTTCAAATGTTTTTCCATTATCTCCACTCAAACTAAGCTAATAAAAACAAAACAACAAAAATTATAGTACCAATGTTCTCCATCAGTGAAAAGCTCTGCTTGTACTGTGTGCATTTAATGCTAAAATTGTATTGTTCAGGGATCACAACATAGATGGGATCTCCCCCTCAGAGAGAAAATAAAGATGTCCATCCTCAGAGAAGGAAATCAACCCTCAGATTCCCCCCACCCCCATTGTACCAACTGCGGAATTTTTTTGTGGCCCACAACTCCATTATCAGGGAAAGGGAACACCGTGGAGGCACCTGGGATTGTCAGGGGGAAGTATTCAATCCTGAACACCCACAGTTCTCCTGACCCCTGACTCCAGTTAGTCCGTAATCTATATGAGCCCCTGTAGCTGTCATTGATTAGCTGGGCTCAATGTGAGAAAAAAGTTTGATGATCACGATGGCAAGCATGCTAAACACCTGGGTGAAAGGGGAGAAATACTGCTTCTTTCTCACTTCCCTCATCACCATGAGCCTGACAGGCTTTTAGATATTTCTGAACCTCCAAGATAAAGGAGACTGTTTTGATTTTAAAGACTTATTTTCACTACCACTCAATTATAACTGTTACCTATATTACATAAAGACTACACATTTGCTTGTAGGCCTGCACTGAAAAAAGGATGGGGAGTGGGGATGCACATATAAATGTACATCTCATTGACAATGAGCTAAAAAACATTTTAGATCTCTCCGGCAGGATTGTTGATATCATCATAATCATTATTTTAGAACTGCAGAGTTGGAAGGGACCCTATGAATCACTGAGTCCAGTCCTTGTCAAGAAGGCACAGTGGGGAACTGAACGCCCAACCTCTGAAGTCAGACACATAAACCACTTTTGTAAATATCAGATCTCTATGCCATATTAGAAACTATAATTAAAAACAGGGTGGATAAAAATCAATGGTTTTTTTAAAAAAATCAAATTGTTTTAAATCATGAGCCAGACACCTAAACCACTTTTGCAAATATCAGATCTCTGTGCCATATTAGAAACTATAATTAAAAACAGGGTGGATAAAAATCAATGGTTTTTTTAAAAAAATCAAATTGTTTTAAATCATGATTAATTTTTTTTAAAAATCATTTTAAATGTAAATAATAAAAATCCATTTTTTAAAAAAATTAAATAAAATCCACCGATTAAAAGTAGTCGCAAAGCTGCAACAGACATTCAATCAAACAGAGCTAGCCCATCTCTTGTTGTAATACAAGCACACTGTACATAGGGCCACAATTTAAATCAGACATACCACATGAAGATGGGAAGGAATGAAAGGTGACAATAATGACGATAAAGTTTTCCTTCTCTACCATCATTTTACCTCTTTTCTCTGGATTTTGGACTCCGAAGACTCCTGTAGTTTTCCCAGCAATGGTAAAATACTAGAAGTGTACGTTTCCCACCAGAGTTCAAGGAACAAGAGCTGACTCTGAGGTACTGAGGCTGAACCATCCTCTCTAGCTGTTTTTGTCTGAGGGTTGTATTTGTAGTCCCAAGGCTTTGCTGGTCCCAAGAAATGGACCACTTTTGCGTCTTTGCCAAAACTGCAAGAAACAACAGTGTTACGCTTAAAGAATGAGTTTCGCTTAAGTACCATTTTAAGCAGTGACTCGAGATGTTTCATCTCTACAATGTTCTTCTTTTCTTATTCTATCCCATCTTGGAGCTTAAAGAATGAGTTTAGCTTAAGTACCATTTTAAGCAGTGACCAGAGATGTTTCGTCTCTACAATGTTCTCATGAAAATAAATCTGTATTTATTCATGGAAATATATATACATATACACACCTACATGGGTTTTACCTACTCCTTGAGCAAAAGAAAAATACAGTGGCATTTAAAAGCTCAGGATGGTGGAAGCCCAGTCAAGCATTTGGTGTTTTCAGCGCAGGGCAGCACAGACTGACACGTTGCTTCAATTTTGATAATTAAACCAATATTTTTGGTCCACGGTACAATCAGAGGTTTAGGCTTTTATATTAGAGTTTTCTGGTTCAATGACTCTTTTGTAACTATATTCACTAGAAGTGGACCACATTCATGAACTATTAACATGACACAAGGTGATGAATGCTTTCATTAGACTTCATTATTGGTATCCTATACCAGATATGCTTCTGCACCAGCATCAACTTACTGTTATAAAACAGAAGCTCAGTGCTTATGATGATAGGCACACAGATCCCATTACCAGAAATGAAATCTATGAACTTCTGCAGTGTTTTCTACTGCTACTGAAGGAGATTTATTTATCCACTCCAGGCTGGGCAGCTGTGATTTCTGCGCTGGACTGATACAACCAAGACTTTGAACATAAACAATTACTTTTTGGGTGACCAAGGTATAACTAAGTTACATTTCAGAATTAATAAATAGTTATAATTTGTGCACAATAATATTTTCTACTTGCTTTCAAAAGTAACTCTTAAAGGATATTAACAGAAATTGGCCAGGTTTCATGGTAAATCTCTTATCAGCAAGGGAAGAACAACTTTGTTTATTGTCTTTAGTATTTTTACAAAAATACAATGTCAGGAGCAATGGAGGGAACTAGAGAGTATTATTTGCCTTTATTTTCTGACCTGCTAGTAATGAAGGTGCAATTAGGTAATGAAAAACAATGGAAATAATTACTCTTGGAAATTTCTGCCACTGGACCAGTGAGAATGGTAATGCCAACCTGGCTGTCTCAAAATAATTAATAATTTATTTACATTTATTATTTAATTGTATCTATAACCTGCCTTTTCTCCAATGAACATAGCTTTCTTCCTCCCCCACTTTATCCTCGTAATGACCCAATGAAGCGCAACAAACTCTTTTTAAAAAAAATTATGTTCCAGATCTAGATGAAACTACTCATTCACGTATAATCAAACACGGAGCAAACATTAATGTACTTACCGTTGGAAAGCTGGAGCATAGGTGTAGATGGCATTACTGGTCAGATTATATATAAATGGCAAATGTTTCTTGATATCTTTTGTTGCCCAGTTGCTGAAGAAACTGTTCAACAATCCCTGATCACCTCCTAGGGATCAAAAATAACATGAATAATGTGAACACATTTTAACATGAACTACAGCAAAAACAGCTCTTTAAATCCTCAAACTGAAATTTACACACACTTTCTAAGTTATGAATCTGCCATTCAGAGAAAAAAAAGTGAATGAAAAATGAAACCAACTGATGTTATCTAGCTCAGCTGCCATTTTTCACCAACAAAAAAAATGTATACATAAATTATTGCACACTTCACCTACAAATTCCACATATCCTGCCATGAACTATACTGTTTGGCTCATGGTAGGTCTACCCAGTCTGTTCAGTTCATACAAGTAGTGGCCTGAACCAGTGGACAGACCCATTGAAACAATAGATTTACATATGTGTCAGCTGACTTTTCAGGTTCTACTTGGGCATACAAACCAAATTTACACCAAGATAACTGCAGGTCTTTGGTGGCTCAATGCTGTCTCCTAATAGTTTAACATGTAATTTGTAATAGGTTGCTTTTATCATTTAGGATTTGGGCCAAAAGAACATGATGGCAGCTTCAGCTAGTGGTTTGTGGCCTGAAAACCAGAGTGAACTATTAAGCATTTTTTGGCCAAACTGTTGCACATTCTGTCTGGTACTTAGCTGTACTGGGACTAAAATGACACATATATTTTCATGCAACCTTAAATATTCAAATTATATTTTAAGCATAAACTGAACAATACCTTTTAAATGTACATGTTTCCATTTGCTTAGGGCTATAAATGATTTATCAACTTTGCAAAAGGACAGCCAACATATTACTGTGGTGTCTTGACTTACAAACATCCTAACCGACAAACATTTCAAGTTATGAACAGCTCCGTTCGTGGAATTTTGCTTTGACTTGCGAATGGAGCTTTGACTCCACCCGTGGGGAAGGTGGAAAATTTGAATTTTCAGTTAACCATTGGCCAGCAAAGAGACTGCTTATCTGCTACATTGCTTGCTTTTTGGAGTGTTTTTTCCCCATTTCCGATGGGTCTTGGGGGTTTTGGTTGTTTGGGGGGGTTCCCCCCATTTCTGATGGATCCTGGGGGGGTTAGTTGCTTTTGGGGTGGTTCCCCATTTCAAATGGGTCTTGCATGCTTCCCTTGCTGTTTCCTTTGTTTTCTTTGCATTTCCGATGGGTCTTGCACGCTTGATTGCTTTTCTTTCCTCCTCCCCTTCGGCTAGAAGGGATTAATCACGTTTCCGATGGATCTTGCATTGCTCCAGAAACTCTTTCCCTACCTAAAGAGGACTGATGCAGGCAAGCCAAAACATGCTACTGTAATTCTGAGATTAGACAACTGTAATTTCCTGTACATGGGGCTAACCTTGAAGATGCATGGGAGGCTTCATCTGGTACAGTGTGCAATGGCTAGACTACCAACGGTTCTCTCCAGCTCAATATGGCACCTATTCTACACTAGCTCCACTGGCTGCCAGTGATCTTCCAAGTTCAGTTCAAAATGTTGGTTATTACCTTTACAATCCCAACACAGTTTTGGACCCACAAATATATGGATCCCCTCTACCCACATAAGTCTCTGTGTTGATTGCTCTTTTCAGAAATGTCAACTGTTGTTGTTGCTCCCATGCTTTGGAACTCCCTACCTAAGCCTCTGTGAAAGAGAACATCTTTGCAGGCATTGAAGAGGGGACCATAAGATGTAACTATCTTGGTGGACTTTTCAGATGCTGTGATCTCTTGTGGTGACATATTTTATCTGTGCTTCCACCACTTTGTATTAATGGATTTTTTGCTTTTTAGACTGTTGAGTTTGTTAAATGTTTTAATATATTTCATTGCTTCAATCATGTTGAATTCTATTCTGGATATCCTCAGACAGAAGATCAGCATATAAATGAAAATAAAAGAGAGATAAACATTTCAGGCTATAATCCCCACAATTTCATATTATTGATCATGATGGGTGCAGAGGATGGGGAATGACCACTTGGCCAAAACATCTGGAGGGCCACAGATTCCCTTATCCTATCTTAGATGGGTACGTCTTCGCATAGTATGGCTATTTTTGACAGCAAATGTTATTTGGAGTTCTTTTTTATGCCAACTGCTTGAAACCTTTGCTCTAAGAATAATGTCCCTAAACTGATCAGAGTATATCTTCAGATATTTACATCCTCGGAAGAATTATACCAATGAAAATCACAGTCTAATAGTCAGGAAGGGGACCACATTCAATAAACGTACCATCAAAGCTCCCATGTTCATTTGCGTACTGCAGGAGGAGGTTAAATGTTTTTAAGGAAGGTTGGAAAACAAAGACACCGCTATTAAAGCAATCTGGCCAGCCAGAATCTGGAGCTGCCGATAATTCTTCCCGATCAAACAGTTCATCAATGTTGCATAGTACCTAGGATGGATGTATCAAGGTCTAATTACAACAGATCCTTTATAATGAAAACCTATGGATCCATAGCCTCACTTACTATATTCACTGCTATCCTTTGGCCCTGTAGTCAACATGAATAGGAATATGACCATATGTTGACCAAGCACATCTGAAATTATGGGATCCATTTTTATCCATGTTTCAGTATTGTAAAGTGTTCATAGCTTTCTATCTCCAGTGCAGAACAGAACATACAACACCCTAAGATTTTCTTACAGCTACTGTTTTCTAATTACACTGACTGTGCATCTCACAGCTACAGTAAACGAGATGAGAATCTTTGCAGAAAAGAATATGTATTGTTCATATACAAACAGAATTTTAAAAATTAAACTGGCATCTAGTCAAATAGTTTTCCAGCCTATACACAGAAATATTGCAGAGAGAATGGCCTGTGAGAGAACATCTTGGCCTCTAGGTGATGATATTCCTTATATCAACACATGATATTAGAAAGATATAGAGGCCCAGAAAATCCATTTTTATGGGAATCTGAGTTCTAACTGGTAGGATGATAGTCTCCATTTCAGATGCCAATGGCCTTTTAATAACAGTAACATCATCATCATCATCATCATCATCATCATCATCATCAACAACAACATCATCATCATCATCATCATCATCAACAACAACAACAACAACAACAACAACAACAACGGTTCACCCAGTGAATCAGAAAATTACTTTGTATCTGGACCCACCTTCATAACACCCCTAAATTTGCATCTCAAAACCATCAGCTAGTCTGACTCTGATGGTTGGATATAACGGATAGCTTAAGTTTTGGACGTGTTTTAGAGAACAAAAAATTATATATATATCCTATGCTGGCTGTCCAACAGGTTGCTGAGGTACCAATGCTCCAGATCAGTGGTTCCTAACCTCGCATCCCTGAATGTTCTCAGACTAAAATTCCCCAAAGCCTTCACCAGTAGCTGTGTTGGCCAGGATTTCTGGGAGTTGTAGTCCAAGAACATCTGGGGACTGAAGACTGGGAACCATTGCTCTAGATCAGTGGAGGCAAACCTTTTTCGGCTGGAGTGCCCAAAATGGTGGGGAAGAAACCAGTGGCTGCCGTGTCGCCCGGAAGACCAGAACCGGAACAGGAAGTGGCAGTTTCAGGGGGAATCATGGGGGCAGACAGGAAGTTAAAGGGGGAATCATGGGGACGGACAGGAAGTTGAAGGACCCAGAACAGGAAGAGAAAGGGAGAATCCCAGCTGTAGCCATGTCAAAAGGTTTGTTTCCACAAGGACGGGTGGCTTGGCAGCTCACTCGCGTGCCAGCAGAAAGGGCTTCGCGTGCCAGCTGTGGCACACGTGCCATAGGTTCGCCATCACTGCTCTAGATACTAATGCTAAGCTACACTAGGATATGGGTCTTGTCCCACATATGATCAATCGCTATGACAAAACCATCCATCTCAACAATTATTATCTCCACTCTTACCATCGTGTCTGCATCCATGAAGACACATTTGCTATACTGAATAAGAGTCCAGCAATGAAGTTTAGTAAAGGTTACACCCAGTTCCAGCCTCTTCAGCAGAGCTAAGTGCAATGAGTCATTGCTGTCAATTTCATTAACGTCAACCACTGCATCGAATATGGTGCCAAGGGCAGTCCTGAAAAACCAAGTCAAAAAAACAAAAAAATTGGAAGACTTAAGAACTCTCTTTTAACAAAAAAAAAAAAAAAAGCAAAAAAGCAGTGTAAAGGTTCCATCACTACCATAACTGAAGTAAGAGCAGACCCTGGTACCAGTAACAGAAATATTATCAACTAGAAGAAAGGTTAACAAAGAAACATCACAATAAAAATATGAAATAAAAAAAATCTGCACGAACACAAAAGATATTTCTTATGAATCATGTGCTTTTCAGTACCGATAAAAGCTATGTATCCTGACCTATCTACAGGTTACCATTATTTCCTGCAAAAATATGTGTCTACTAGTTCATGGTTCAAGGGTTTATTGATAAATAGGCATTTAGTAGGCCCTATTATGAAAGGAGGGAGACAGAATGCTTTGTATCCATTCTCTCCATGCCATTCATAATTTTAAAGACTTTTCTTAGCAGTCTCTTTTTTAGAAAACCGAATTGAACAATTTTAGCCATTTCTCACCACACAGTTTGTAGATGGAGCAGATGATGAGAACAGCACAAGATAAAATAATGAGGTAGAGTGGAGGGAAAACAGCACAAAAGATGATTTAAAATATTTGAGAAAATTAATTCAACTCATAACTATGTGGAGCTTTCATGGGTGAAGGTCCCCAAATCATTAAGGAAGTCCTATTCTTTATACTGCTATTAATATATAGCAGTATCTGCTTAAAATTCTGTCCAAGAAGTGGTTAAGACAAAGGGCCATGAGCAAAAAGGAGCTTTTAATGGAAGGTGAAACAAACATGGGACAAAACATAGCTCTAGTTTGTTTGTATGCTTGGTCACTTCTGATTTAATTACCCTAGCCATTAGGGGATCAAGGCACACATTTAACCTGGTCTTTGTTTATTGTTATTTTATAATTAGGTAGTGGAACAGAATTTCCATTTTGTAATTACCATGTTAATTGCATCTGGGAATGTGTCCTTACCTCATTGTGCAGGAGACCTGAGGTGTAATTAGCACTGCCAGCTTTCTGGAAGTTCTGTGGTTCCTCAAGGACTGCCCAAGAACAAGAGCTCCGGGGCAGTAAACATCGTTAGTAGCAAGGGTCACAAAAGCCTGGTCTGTCACTGTAAACAAGCATTCAGAATAGTTCCTTAATTCAGCATAAGAAAATTGCCTCAGCAGTTTCCTATTTTCTCCCACTGAAGAGACAAGCTGTGATTTCTCTCATGGCATGTAGATTCCACAATAAGTTTTTTTTTTATTCCCCAGAACTCAACAGGCAGAGAACTGCAAACGCTAGGCAGATTTCTGCTTGTTGCCACTGCATGACATCACATGACGGAGAGGACAGAGACGAACTGCTGTTGCTGCTTTTGATGGTCATCATACATCTTCTATAACAGTGGTCCCCAACGTTGGCCTCCAGATGTTCTTGGACTTCAACTCCCAGAAATCCTGGCCAGCAGAGGTGGTGGTGAAGGCTTCTGGGAGTTGTAGTCCAAGAACATCTGGAGGCCCAACGCTGGGGACCACTGGTCTATAACATCTAGTTCAGTGGTTCCCAATGTTGGGTCTCCAGATGTTCTTGGATTAAAACCCCTAGAGGTCTTCACCACTAGCTATGCTGGCCAGAATTTCTGAGAGCTGTAGTCCAAGAACATGTGGGGACTTAAGGCTGGGAGCAACTAGTTCCATCCATAAAGCTGATTCACACAAAGGTCTCTTGTTAATGTTCTACTATATGAGAAACAACCTACATAAGGCTATGACAAACATATTAGAATGATGAACAGTGAAGGCCACAGAAAGGCCAGACCCCAACACACACCTAAACTAGAGACAGTCTACTAAAAGACCTGCACAGAGATCTCCAGAAACAGCTTATCTATCTGGAGTGCTACATTTCCCATCTTCACCAGGAAACTAAAGAAATGAAGACGAAAGTGTTAAGGCTGGAGGCTTGCAGACCAATCGTTTGCACTTGTCCGTTCTCCAGAAAAAGAGGCAAGAGTGAGAGTGATACTCTGGGCTAAGTACCATGAGCAGAGGCCAGACCCTGCTGTAGAAAGCACAAAATTTCAGTATTCTGAAGCTCTGATCTTCTACTCTGCTTTGCCCCTTGGGTTTCTGCTGTAGGCTTGTGTCTAATTTTTATGGCTGATACTTTAATTTGCAAGCTGCCTGAAGCATTGTTTGTTTTCATTCAATGAATTGCCCGTTTTTTTCCCCTCACACTCACAAAACAACTTGTAATCAGATAACATCAAGATAAAAATCTGCCTGAGCAACTGCTGAGGATGACAACAATGCCAGTAAAAAAACACAGTAGATTAAAACTGCTAGTGTTCCACCCACCCACCCAAATGGGTTCTCTCTGGGTCCACCAAATATGGCTCATACAGATTTCTGAATTATAATTCCTAAGGAAATTCTGCTGAACCCACAGGAATGTGATAGAACACTCCCTGCCTGCTAGGCTTTAGACGAGGGGTGGGTTTGGGTTAAATTCAAGCTTCCAACCCTCATTATGGGCTGCAATGGAAATGGTGGGAAACTGCCATTTAAAAAAAATCAAACCGAATATGCCCAAATAAGCACTTCTAGCTTCTTTCTTGTGATATCCAATGAGCTGTAGTCTACAGAGAAAAGGACTAAGTCTCAGGACACCTGAGTTTGAATCCACACTCATCCATGAAAACTCAAACAGGCAGGAGGTGGGGGGACTAGTAAAGCCGCTCCTTAAACATCTTGTTTACCTTGAAAGCCCTATCATTGTTGCTATACGTTGGAACTGAAAAGATGTTTTGTAACTTACAAGTTGTGTCTTAGAGGGTGCGGGGGGAGGATCTTGGGACTCCCCCCCCCAAGCTTGGTTTTGTTTGTTTGTTTTGCTTTGCTGGGGGAGGCTTTGGAAGGGCCCTGGGGGCCACATGCAGCCCACATTATGGCCAGTCCTGTTTTAGACTATATTTATCTCTCATTTTCATAACTATATAGAGATTAAAAATGAACAGATGATGGAGCCAAGCACAATGTAGGGATAGCTGTTTCTTCTCTTTCTGACAGCCTTAATAGTAGCATTGCTAGCTGGAAGGAGGGAGCTTGATCCAAGCATGATGGGAAGTACTGTATGGCTTTTTACCACAGAAACATGAAGTGATACATCCTCAAATAAATCACTGCCTGTATTTGTCTGGACTTGAGTGCAATAATATCGCAGCACCAATTTTGTAATCAATTTCCACATGCTGGCCAGTCTGCACATCCTTCATGCCAATCATCATCCACTGCAGGGAACAAGGGAGATATTCCCTACACTGCAACGCACTTGGGACACCATACAGCAATCAGCAATGTGGCCAGGTTTAGGTGGGGAGGATGACATTTGTGCCATGAGATCTGTTTTGTTTAGAACGAATTCCTCCTTAGAAACAGGTGGATGTTGAACTTTAAAATCAAGAACCAAAGAGGAGCATGTAATTACCATTTTGCATTTGCAAAGAGATTCAGTTACTGTCACTGAATGTTTACCTCTGAAAGCAGATGTGTTGCTCATCAACAACACTTAGCCTGTAAAAAAGGGGAATTACTTCATTACAGGTGATTTTTGATTCTGTGAATTTCAAACTATACTTGGGCTAAAAACAACTGGAATAAACCTGCAGGCACAATAGGGAAATGTCTAGATCATAGGATTGTAGGCAGTGAGGCCAGAAGGAATTGGAAAATGAAATTCTGTATTGAATTGCCCTCTTGATTTCACAAATTACAGACTCTCTTGCAATCATGTGTACTGTATTCCTATCTGGAAGTCTGGATGACCATGAGTTGGCTATGGTCAATAAAGGCACAACAATACATATATTGGTCTGTAAAGTGCCATCGGGCTCTGTTGTTCTTAAGTTTTAAAAAAGCATTGCCTCATTTAACCACAACATGGGTGCATCTTTCACCTCTTTCTCCCTTCTTAACTAATCATATTGGCGAGTATTATAAACAACACCTGTACACAGAAAATGTGCATACCTTCCAAAGCAGAAAAATTACAGAAGGAAAATTAGAGAAGTGGGGAAAAAAACTACCTACCAGACATCTTCTAAAACCATCAGGCTAAGCTGCCTGGTAGTGTAAGCCTATGGCAGCAGGTGGGGGGAGAGATTCCTCCACTATTCCTTATTTGTTTCCAGCAGGCCCTTCTGACTACCGGATAGGATTAGCGTGTTTCTTTCCTACTGAACATAAATGGATTATATATTAAACATTTATGCATTATTCACTAATCAAACATCCAAACATCCTCCAAATTAATTCGGGGTACAGGAGAAGATGTACAATGGCATTCCGCATAATGTGCATGTATAGCATGTGCCACCACAATACAGTATGTCTGTCTTCACACTTCATAATAATAAATAAATGTAGCATGGAGGGGGAGAGACCACCACCCCTTTCCCCATACAGACACTGAAATGCAAAGGAAGCAAAGACTGGAAGAGAGAGAGAAAAGGGAGGTACCTGTTTCCTACTAATTGTTAATATCCATGAGCAGGGGTGGGTGGGTGTCAATAAAAGAAGCTACCCCCAAGAATTCAGCACAAATTCTTTAAGAACAAAGCTTGAGCAAAGACACACCCGCACCCTTCCAAGCTGCCAGGAGAAAGAAGGCCCCACAGGTAACTTCATAGCCCTTCCTGCACACTCCCTAGCGAAGTATTAACCATTTAACAGCAGTAACTCTTTACATCATGCCTGCCTCTCTGCAGGAGAGGGTGGGTGAAGGTTGCCCCTGGAAAGGAAAGGGTGAGAAATAAAGTGAATGTGAACAAATGACTCCCCTGCGGCTGACCAACAACAGATGATGAAGACACCACTTTTCATGGACTAGTCTCCACGTTCCACATCTGATGAAGTGGGCAATAGTCCCCGAAGGCAGATGCCACAACAGAACACCTTACAATACCAAATACTGTAGATTTATTCGAAAGCGAGCCTCTCCCAAGTTCAGTCATACTCCTCTTCTGCGCTTGTTGCGTGCATCCGCACTGCACGTTTGAAGTGCCATCCGATCCCGGGGAGGCTTACCTCTGAGTAGGTAATCACAAGACTAGCAATAATCCCTTAGCCTTTCAGGCCCCACGTGTGCTTGTGTGTCTTTGTGGCTTATCAACCCAACCAGCTACGACACGGGGGGTTTATTTATTAACCAGGGCGATTGCCAACAGTGAGGTCAAGCGCCGGCTATCATTGCCCAAAGAAAGCGTGTTATTAAAAAAAAAAGGCATCTGAGTTTTTTTTTTTTAAAAAAAAAAGAGGCTCCCCGGTGCCTTTGAAGCCCCTTCCTCTGTCCACCCCGTGAGACATCCCGCCCTCCTTTTCTGCCAATGCGCCGCCCGCTCTCCATCGCCAGGACCGGGCTGGGCGCACCGGGCGCTGCTGCTGCTGTTGCCCCGCCGTCCGTCCGTCCTTCCCTCCATCCCTCCCTGCCTCCTTCCCAGCTCCCTTCAGGCGACGGGTACCGACCCACCTA